CATATAAGAACATAAACTTTGACGCCCTCTAGCGGTTTTGCGTTTTGTTTTCGACCATGCATTCTTTGATAAAAATTGTTTGCTTGGGTGTGTACTATCACTTCCTGAAATTTTGCCCATCTTTTTAGAATCACCCTGTATATATGCGAAAATTATAAAAGAAATCTTGATAGTTACAAACATTTTATTTTTCCCGAAAAAATTGCTAGAATTAAAATATCTTTTGTACCAGTTTGTGCTCTTTGCAGTCCTGCTATATAAGGGCTTTCAGCAACGACTGCTTCATGGAAATAATCTACTGTGCTAAAAAGAATCTTTACTAATGCAGTGTGTGATAAGAAAGATAAGAATCAATTGAGAAGTAATTTTACTCAATAATGAAACTTACATTATTATAGCAGTTCTAACAAGAAACGGTGTTCCTTTCTCCTTAATTCAATCTCTTATGTATTTAGAAAATTTAACATAAGTGCTTAGATTCATATCTGGCATCATGAAATCTAATCTTTCTCTATTATTCTTTTTACTTCAGATATCAAATTAAACTTGAGTTTATAAAATTAAGATTTTGGGAAAGATAAATAAGTTTTTCTACAGCAATGGAAAAAGTCTTATAATAATTGCTTAAAAAAATAAAAACAGAAATAAGTATTTAAAATAACAACTACTTACGAATAAAGGAAATTTCGGAAAAAGTTAAGAATTTAAACTAAGAAGTTGGAAGTTAAAGTTAGAAGTTAAACAGTTATTATTTTTTGAACTAATTATTGAATTTCCCTTATTTTAATTTATCGTACTCGCTACATATTTTTCTACACACTTTCGTAATTTTAAGTTTCTAACTTTAACAACTTTTGCACAACAAAATAAAATGGAACGCAAACTAGAACAATTAATGATTAGTAATTATAATTAAAACAATATTATCATACAATTAGTAATCATAATTATTATACTTTTTTTTATCAAAACTGCTTATTCACATCGTAGACTTTCTCTTATTTGTTTTTTTTTTTATTCGCAGCTGAGAGTGGTAAAATTAGCTCAAGCTTGGCCAACAATGCGATTACTGCTAACGATTATTGCGAGTACCCTAAGCGCTGTTGGAAATATGACATTGGTTCTAGCAGTCATCGTATACATATTCGCAATTTTAGGGGTGCAACTCTTTAGTGACATTTATACAGAAGAAAACTTTGCTCCTGGGCCAGTGCCAAGGTAATTTAAATTTTTTTTTATTGTTATTAAACTAAATATGTAATTCTTTCTTAAGGAGTTCATTTAAAAAGTAAAGAGGCACAGAACACTGCTAAAATTTACGTACTGTATAGTATTGATGTTTGTGATGAAGAAAAATGTTGTTTAGGTTTAAAAAAAATACACGGTATTTATTCATTAGGAAATTTTTTCGTTCATATGCCAATGGTTGACCGGAAATTCCGGTTCTCAAAATGAAAGCTCTTATTACCACACATTTAGTAAAAACTGCAAAACTGAAAAGTAAATGCAACCGAATAAATGGTTTTTATGTCCTGCTATAAGGTATCATATAAAATTACCAAATTTTATTGCCACTTATTAAAAATCTTATTTTACTGTTAATTTTACAAAAATCATTACCAAAGGGCTTTGCTAAAAATAATCAAGCTATTTGGTGTTTCCAGAGCCAGAAACATAATACATTTTACCACATTTTGGTAATTTTTACCATATTTTGTTCTCATTGAAAGATTTCAAAAATTCGGTGATAAGCCACTCTTTTTCTAAAGGTGACATTATTACACTAAACCGCTCTTCAGTATTGTTTCCAAATAGATATTTTATAAGTTTCTGAAATTTCCTCTACAAAACAGCACAATACACTGAAATATCTTATTGCCTCCATGAAAATAGAAGTTTTTTTTTTTATTTTTTTATTACCGAAAACGCTTCCTTGAACAGTTTTAAAACCTTGTTTATCATTATAAACAAGGTTGCTATTAAAGAGACTTTTAAAAAAATCGAAACTATCTATCAAAACTTCGCTCTTCAAAATTTTTAGAAAAATAATAAAAATATAGCATAAATAAATTAAAGTTTTAATAATGTGCTTTACATAAAATATTTTGTCTTTTGTTTAACATTGACAATTAAGAAGTATTATATCTGTAAATAAATAATCTCAATCATATCTTTTATTTGGCTTTTCTCTTTTTGTTCTTTTAAATCCTCTGAAATTTCAACTGTCAGATGACTGATATTAAATAATAAAACCCCTTAAAAATGTAATGCTCCAAGCCCTTCATGTACAATGAGGTATATTAGAAATCACCATTTCTAATCGAAACTTTTCTCTACACGCTTTCCTTCAAAATAATAAAAAATAGCAGAAATAAATAAAAATTTTAACAATTTTTATTGTTAAAATTTTTATTGCTCATAGCGTATTAGTTAAAATATTTCGTTTTTTAATATTGACAATTAAGAAGTATTCTACTTGTAAATGAGTAATCTCTTTTTTTTATTTGACTTTTCTCTTCCTCTTTTTGTTTCCTCGTAAATATTACCATTAAATCTTCTGAAATTTCAACTTTCATCTAGATCAACCTCAGACTTGGGTTGGCTTTATTTTAAATTCCTCGTGCTTGAACAGGCTCATATCTCAAATAGATAATATCGAACTGATATCTAATTGGTACAATTTAATTGGATGTATTTTTTATGCGTATTTATGACAAATAAATTATAGCTTTTTAAAACAAGCATGAATTAATGAACAGTTTGACATCATACACCACAGAAACTAAATATAAAAGTATTCATCATGTGGTGTTGCCATTTTTTTCCGAAGTCACCTACATATTTTAACATGTCATCTTTAGGTGGAATTTTACAGATTTCTGGCATTCACTTTTAATGATATTTCGAATTCTATGCGGAGAATGGGTGCAGCCATTATGGGATTGCATGAGAGCTTCCGGTGAGAAGTATCAAGTCTGCATCGTTCTTTTTCTCGTCGCTTTAACGATGGGAAATTTTCTTGTGCTCAACCTCTTTCTTGCCATGCTTCTTAACTCCTTCAACTCAAAAGAGCTCAATCAAAAAAAGGTACAATTCTCATTCTGAATCTTACATATTGAGTAATTATGACTACGAATCATACATATTCTGTTTAATCCCGCGAAACTACTTCACAAATTTGCTAACATAACCTTTTTATTGATAAATACAGTTTCACTCAATAATTAATGAATTATGTTGATTCTAAATAATAATTTAAAGTTATTTTTAAAAAGGACATAATTAAAACTTTATTTTAAATTTTGAAGGCATTCAAACTAATTACGAAGAATAATTTATGTACTTAAAAATACATGATACAGCATAGTATGTTAAAACTACATTTAAAATTATTGATAGCCTGTGATTTCAAGAATGAAGCATATTGTTTTCTGACTTTTAATAAGAAAAATAATTTTAATTAATATTGTCCTGGGAGGATAAATAGTTTTATATTAATCGGAAATAGAAAATGTGGTAAATTGTGTGCACATTAAGTAAAAATTGCTTTAAATTAATTTTTTAAGGCTATTTAAAAAATGCTTTATTAAAAAAATAAGATATTTATTAAACATCTGAAAAACATCCGAATTCGGCACTATTTTTTTAATATTATGAACTTATATTCCTAGAAATTTTATTTAATAACATTTTGTCACACAATTTTCCTTTTCGTTTAAGGAATCTATTTTACACCATTGTGGAATCACCCATTTGGTGGTGGCTTGAAGCCTACCCATATTTAGATCAAGGAGCTCTAGCTAATCTTGGAAGGGAAGTAAAAGTGGTTGGCGCGCAGCGCTGACTCCTGCTGGCCTTACCCTTAACTCGTATCCCACTACGGATTGTTGTTGGAATCTATACAAGCGAGATATTTCTTCAAAAGAATTTATTCAGTAATTGATTTAAAAAAAATTTTTTTGGTCAGAGCTGTTGTTTTATTATATAAAAAAATATTTGTTTGCAAGTATTTATTTTACTTTAAATCTAACTAACGCTTATAAAAAATTTCGCTCTGTTCAAAATTTGTAAACAAAATAAAACTTTTAAAGTTCTTGTGGTTTATATTTAAGTTTTTTAATAGATATATTTAATGCTAATTTGAAGGGCATAATTTTAAATAAAGCCTATTGATAAAAAAAGAACAATACGACTAAATTAATACACTTTATTTACCATATCTATAATACAAAAAAAAAATCAATTGAAAAAAACATAGAATGACGAGTGAACTATGAATCAATGTCGATTCCACTTTAAGGTGTTTAATCTATTGTTAGCCTTAAAGCCTTTTATAAATTAAAATTACAATATTAATTTAATTAATTATAATTTAAAAATATTAATTTAATTAATTTAATTAATTTAATTAATTTAATTAATTTAATTAATTTAATTATAAATTAAAATCAAAAGATTAATTTAATTAATTATAATTTAAAAAGATTAGTTTAATTAATTTAAATTATTAATTAATTATAAATTAAAATAAAAAGATTACGCCATTTTAGCTTCCTCAGTTGGAAAATTTTTATAGTTTCAAGATATTCTCTTCATTTGGAATATGTCTCATAGTTTCAAGAAATATCCTTCAATCGGCATATACAATTTAAAGATATCAGTCCCTTTGGAAAGCAATAGCGTCCTCATCATCAAATTAAACAAAAACTCTGTGATTCAGATTGTTATTAATTTGGTTAATATGAATGAATATAATTTGGTTTCCGTTAATATGATTTGGTTAATATGAATGATTGTAGTTTGAAAATTGATGTCCGGCATATCGGACGCCAGGTCCAGAGGGGTGAAGGAAGTAAGTGGCCACTAATAAAATTGTAACACCTAGTTCCTTTCTAGAAAGAGGCAACCAGTTCTGATTCAAAACTGCTGAAAGGATTTCGACGGATTAAAGGAGTCATTAGTCGGGGTAATGCAGAATGGACTGACGAAACTCCCGAAGAATACGTGTTTCAAAAAAGAAGGAAAACTGAACCTCAAATGTCTGAACGACCTGAATCTCCAAGACGAGCCAGTGACATCGCGGCTGTATTCCATCAGCAACTTCGTCAGAATCGAGGTGAGGAAAATGTAACGATAAATTCCTCTTGCGCAGGATGCAGATAGATAGAATAAAAATAATGCAGGATAGAATAATAGAAATAAAATATCAATGAAATAGTAATGAAATGTAATTTTTACCAATAAAGCGTTGAAATCAGTTAATTTACAAATCATCCAGGTAATGCGCTAGGCAGGGGTGGCGAACCTTTATTCACCAACGTGCCATTTTTTCTAAAAAAATTGCTTAATGATGTCGTAGACGTGCCGTCAAATAATTTTGACTTCGTGTTTATTGGGAAAATAATAATATTAAATTCTGTCAAAACTCTTTGTTTACATTGAAAAAGAAAACATTTTGCAGTGTCTCAGTTATACGCGTAATTAAACTTAAAGTTATATCAGTGTGACTTCTGTTGTTGCAGATTAGATGACAAATAACTTATATTAGGTTGTAAGATGTTAGTTTAAGCAGGACTGTTAATTGTTTTTGCTAGTTTTTTATTGTTAGCTTGTTTTTTATTGTTATTAATTGTTTTTTAACATTAATTGTTAATTTTTTTATTAATAATTGTTAATTATTTTGTTTGCTTTTTTTGATTTTTATTTTAATTGTTACATATGCTTCATAGTGTAATAACATTTGTGATCAGTGCCGTGCCCAAAATATTGTGCCTCGTGCCATAAATCGCACGCGTGCCATTGGTTCGCCATCCCTGAACTAGGGTGATGCGATTAAATGAATTCATTTCTCAAATTTCCCAGATAATCTATGAACTACATAGATTATCTGCACACTATTTGTAAAAAATTCTGGATCAAATTATGGTATAAAGTACTGGCACATTCGTAACATTTATTTTAACGGTAAAATAATACTTGTATATCGCAGTTTTTACAGTAATACTTATTTACTTCGATTGATGCAGGGATTTGATAGTAATTTTCACCATAAAAATTGCGGTATATCAGATTTTTTGTATGGGTAAAAATGGATTTTAGGGTAAAAAGTACCGGCACTCTGAGTGCCGGTACTTTTTACCGTTATTGGATTCAGAATTTTTTTACAGTGTACTACCTACTAGATGCGCACTGTTAAGAGTGCAAATAAGATCTTTGCCGGAACACCAACAACGTTTCGTTACTCGTTAATTAATATAATATTATTCATTTATTTTCCGCTCCATAAAAAATTAAGCCACTACAATAAAACGGTCAACGAATTAGTTGATAGACTAAAGCATTAATCACTTTAAAAGCTACAATAATAAAGAATAAAATGGTTTAAAATATTATTATATTTAAGGAATTAAGCATAACGTTATTTATTTATTTTTCAACATCCAAAGAATTATTATGCTATCAAAATATTTAACAATTGATTGAATGAGAAAAACTTTTGAACGTTCGGAACGCGTTTTTCGTGTTTGGAAGATTTTATCCTCAGCACAGAAAATGACTACGGTGTATCATACTGCATTTCATAACCATAAAATATTAAAATGCTAAACATAATACTTTTCACTTACTTTGACCTAAATTACTACAGAACATTGAGAAAAGTATGAAAAGTATGTTTAATAAAAATTCTGTGTCAAGAGATATAAGTGCATTTCGGATTAAATAATCAATCTTACCTAGTTTTGATGTTTTTGATATTCCTTTCTGTTCTTTAACTCTTTTGATTTTTTTCTCTTAAATAACGAGATTCAACGAGCATATTGTTAAATACATGTTAAGGATGGTAGTTACAAAACACCATAACTTATTTTATTAAATATCTCTGTTTAGAGACAAGCGTACTTGCTGTTCCCAACAGAATACCCGAAACGGAAGTACACGTATCTTTGCCAACTGTGGAAATGGTCGAGCAGGTAAAGATTTCCCAAATTTCAAAATAATTCCAGACTTCAGTCTGTACCCTTATAAATGCATTATTTGTCTTTTTATCTGAAAGATAAATTTAGGTTTCTTATTTTTGTTAGAATAGGATTCCCAAAATTCTACAAGAGATGTGACGCCATCAAAGTCTCAAACGTCTTCTACAAAAGTAACAGAGCCACCAAACTGTTTCCCGATTTATTTTTATGGGTAATGATGAAGTATTTACATATTCTTTACCACACATGCGGCCCTTTAAATATATTAACTGAGAAAAAAGTTCTTGTCCAATTTTAATTAAATAAAGTGTTGCATGCGCATTGGTAAAATAGCAAATGAATGTCATCAACAAGTAATTGTAGAAAAGTCATGTGAGCAACTGGTTTTATTTAATGTTGAAATTCAACCTAAACTTCCACATTTGGTTAATTGAAAATGCATCTTCTTTCAACAACTGTTGCTCAATAGAAAAAGCTAAAAATTAGGACACCACTAAAAGAGATAAATTAATCTAGCTTCACCTTACATTGTTAATCCAGATTATATATATATATATATATATATATATATATATATATATATATATATATATATATATATATATATATATATATATATATATATATATATATATATATANCAAAATACAGCAAACAGCACCTCTATATAAAATAGTGCGTGGAGTCTCTCCGCGCGGAAGAAGTTAAACTTCGCAACGTTAATTATAGAAGAATCAGCAGTGGTAGAAGGATCACTAGTTCTATTCAACGACTCTTTTTCCGTGCTCTGTAATCACGGTAATATAGTGCATTTTTCCCTCGCCGACCTCTTGAACCAGTGGAAGTGCTTGTGATTGCCTCATCGTCTCGCCCTGGAAAATGTATTTTTATTAATAATGTATGTGAATGCGTCATAATGTAATTTCAGATGAGAAACAATCAATTGATATTCACAAGAGACGTACCTTGACATAACCTTAAATTCGTTGCATTGTCCGTGGGATTGTTTTCACTCATTTTTTACAATTGTTATCCGCTAAATTTGAAAATAAAATATACTACCCCATTAAATTATATGTGTATCAAAACAAACTAAAAAAATATTTATAGAAAAACAATACTTTTATGACTTTTATTATTTTTATGCTAGTGAGAACCAAAGCAATATGGAAATGAATGAGGGAAAACTGGATCCTACCACGTGATTTCCCGGTCAATAAAAATGTAGCGTTAAACGTTTAACGCCACCTTGTTGGAAGTCGCATAAGAAGTATAACTTCAATAATAGGATGTAATTATAATAAAATAATACTATAGATAAGATTATAATAATTGATAAAACGTTTTAATTAAAATAAAACATGTTATAAAATTATATCAATTTTATGCTTTAGATGGTTCGATCCTGAAGGCCGTCCTTTTTACAAATACTGGAAACTAAGTCGACGACTGATTCTTAGGATTTGTGATCACAAAGCGTTTGAATACAGTGTTCTTGTACTCATATTTTGTAGTAGCATTGTTCTAGTAAGTCTTTTTTTAAATTAAAACTGTTAAAGTTATCATATTTGCGGAACTAAACGATTAACATAATGTTATTTAAAATAATACACATAATAAGATACAACAAAATTTAAGTAATTGAAATGATAATTACATTTCTATAGTACAATTATTTTATATAGAAAAACTGCAACTTGGTCTTCCTGCAGAAATTGTTTTTAAAATTATTGCTACTTGTTAAGTACTTCTTAGTTAATATATTTAAAACTTAGAGTTCTGTGTATTAAATAATGGAGAAAATTATACCCGACAAAAATAGTGTGTGATAAAATAATAATTAGTACATACTAAATCAATTATTAATCATTGTAGATCAATCATAAAATCATCATTGAAATAAGCAAAGATTATCTATAGAACGCATGATCTCTATTTCTGTTTCAAAACAATGGAACATTTAAAAGTAATTTTAATGATATCAGTCTAATATTCTAAGCAGAAACAAAAAGAATCAGCGCTTAACAGTAATATTTACTTTAAAATTAAATAAACATTACTGTAAAAATTACTGTATAAAATTTTACGGTAAAATTGATTTTCCGGATGCTGAATTCAGAGTGCCAGAGTTTTTTTAATCGTAATTTGATCCAAAATTTTTTACCGTGTACCAAATTTACCAGATGGTACAAAATTTGTCTCATCGTTATTTTTACGGAATTAAAGATAAGGAAATAAAGATAAGTAAAGCAATTAGTCAATATTTTGTAAAACCGCTTAGTAAAAAAAAGCACGTCTTGCATATAATTACGCCTGTTAATTAGTCCCTCGTACGATGGTACTCGTAATCTAAAGGGGTTGGACAAAATTATGGAAACACTTCTATACTCACTCTTTGTAAACAATTTTTCTCTTAGCAGCAAAACTTTCGGGAGATTTTACAAGACAAAATTGTTGGCCCGATTTGAAAGCTCTTGCGTGAAGCTTTTAGAAATGCACTGTAAGAAATTCTGGATCAAATTACAAATAAAGAGCCTCCCTGAAACTTATTTTACACACGAATGCTTGGCTTTTTAATCTTTCCTAAACTTTTTACACTTGACCATTTTTGAGGGATTTTTACATAAATTTCTGTTTTCTTTGAATCAACTATATCTTTCAACGATAGAAGATTATTTTCAAAATTATTTTACTCCATTAACCCTTTGATTACGAATTTTAAAAAATGCTTTTTTTTTGTCCCGTTTATTATCCAAAAGGACAAAATAGGTCACATGTAAGGCAAATTTAGTATTTGGGATTTTTCTGACAAGCGATTATCAATTTAGAGGCTGGAACATATATGTCCCGGCAGTACTTAATGGAGGGATACATATGAACATTAGTAATTTTTAAATATTTGTTGGGACAAATGAGTCTCTTTAGTAGTCAAAGGGTTATTCTTCAATTTAATTTACGAATACATTTCTAATTTTCACTTCTAATTTAAACAAATGTACTGTGTCTATTCCCCTCAAAGAAATTAAACCTAAAAATTATACCTGTTTATATTACTATATTGTAAAGAAAAATCAAATTACAACAAGACAAAGTTATACGGAAAATTATTCAGGATATTTTATTTTTTATCAACCCGTTACGCTGACGAGGGGTAGATGCAAAAAGCAATAAATAATTTTCATAATAAAGTCAAATAAAAAAATATATAAATGATAAAATGTATGTCTTGAATGTTGCAATTTTGAGACTTAGAGTATCGAACTTTCTATAAGTGTATTGATACTTTCTAGTGCTTTGAAGATGTATTTCTGCCTGAGAAACCTCAAATGATGATGATTCTTGGACACCTCAATTTGTTTTTCACGGCTTGTTTTGTTCTCGAAGTCCTATTGAAATGGGTGGCTTATGGATTTGTTGTATATTTCAGCAGTCTTTGGACAACATTAGATTTTACAATCGTTTGCGTATGTATTTTTCCTCTATAAATATTAAAAAAAAAAATTTCCTACTTCAAAATTATCTTATTTTCGTATATATACTGTATAGTTTCCCTACAACTAAATTTTTAGTCGGATGGTAAACATAACATTCAAAACATCTTCCATACAACAAATTTTTCAAACTTCAATCTTTTTTATTTTTATTTTTTTTCGAAATTTTTGAGTTGATGTATTTTTTGATTTTTTGGCATTTTTGAATAGTTGCAATTGTATATTAGTATGTTGGAATAAGTTGAAGCATTAGAAAGTAATGGTAAACCAATGATGGCAATGGTAAAAGGTTCAACTATTATAGTTTGCGATGTAACTCTTTTGTTAACTGAACCACATCCTACAGATGAAGATATTTTAAACAGTACACAGTAAAAAATTTCAGATCAAAATACAGCAAACAGCACCGGCACTGAGGGTGCCGGTACTCTTACCTTTATCGGAATATATTACAGGAAAAAAAATCTAGTGTACCATATTTTTTCAGTATTAATTACCGTAAAATTACTGAATCATTCTAATTAAATAAATATTATAGTAAAAGTTACGAAATAGTACTTTGATGGTAACAATGGATACTATAGTTAAATGAATTTTACGAATGATGCACCCAAGTGCCAATACTTTATACCGTAATTCTATTTGGAATTTTTTGAAGTGTATAATGAACAACGATAAAGACTAAGAAAGTGACAGTGACTCCGAAATCTTCACATAGTGATCAGTGAATCTTCACACGCAAAACAGGAAACGGTCTTTTGGACTAAAACGTTATGATCATTCAAAACCATTAAAAAATTTCCCAAATGAAAGGAAATTTTTTATGAGAACTTCATGAAATTTTGAACCGTTGAAAATTCCGGAAATTAAGTAAAATAATCCTATTTAGCCTATTTTCCTATAAGCAAGTATTATCCTTTAAATGGATAATTTTTCTTCACTTATTTCATTTTATTTTTATAATAAAAATCAATGACATTAATAAATTTATAACATGTATCACCTTAATTTTTAATTAAGTCAAAATTATCTAATTTTGAACTTATCACGGCAGCAAAGAATTTCAGAATGTTTATCAAATCACTACAAAAGGCCACAACATTCCGCATAACGAAATATTCCCTGTAGCGAATATATTAGCTGGAGACAATCATTTCTGTGATATTGTAAAATATCACAAAATGTGTTACTATGAAGAGAGTAAACTTAAAGACTCTACATTGTAAAAATTTCCAGATCAAATTATGATATAGACTATAGAGCATCATCAGTTAAATCCATTTTTACCGTAAAATATTACACGGTAATTTTTACAGTAATATTTGCTTAATTAGAGTGATTCAGCGATTTTACTGTAATTATTACTGAAAAAATATGGTATATCCGAATTTTTGTTCCGTAACATGTTCGGTAGAGATGGATTTTATGATTAAAAGTACCGACATCCTGAATGCCGGTACTTTTGCTCTGAAAATTTTATTGCTTTTTCATTGTAATAAATTTCCCCGCATGTTTTCTTTTTAAATGTCTTGAACATTTTAAAACTTGATTAAAAAATTTAACACATTAATAAGGAAAATAAGCAGCCTAAATTTAAAACTGTGTTAAAAAGTCTAGTCAATTATTTGACATCTTTCGAAATCTAGGAGAATTCAAATTATTAAAACAAATTTATATCAATTACAATACATATATACAATTGTTCAGTGAAAAAAATTTACAATTTGTTTCAATAAACAGAAATTTATCATGTATTCAGACATTTCCTTATTTGCGAATAATTTTTATTTTTTTCTCTGTAGGTGTCAGTAGTAAGCATAGTTGCTGAAAGCTCTGGTTCTGGTTTATATGCTTTACGTGCATTTAGAACTCTACGAGCTTTACGACCTCTCAGAGCTATATCTCGGTGGGAAGGAATGAAAGTAAGTCTCGTTAAAACACTATAAAAGGTATGCTAGTAACATTCAGGATTTATCTAATGACTCCAGAAAATAATGTAAGTTTTACATACCTAAACAACAAACAACCTTACGGCAAACTTGTTTTTTTTACTTCCATTTGGTTGGCTAATTAATTCTTTTTTTAATTTAAAAGAAGTATTAGTATAAAAACCTTTTCCTTATAGATTAATAAGGGCATGCGAAAACCTTTACAAAAAAATCTCATTCTTAGATTCTATTTACTAGTACTGTAAACCTTATTTGCCTTTTTTTCATGCTAACTTTGTTCAGGCTAACTTTGTTCAACATTTTGCTTGTGTTGAAAACTTAGTTATTAGGCAAACCTTCACTTTTAAAGTGCAAAATAAAGTATTTAAAAGCCTGCGCAACTAAACCTTGTTTCAGTAATGGTCATGAAATCTAAAAAAATTTTGAGAAGGCAAATTCATCATCGGTTTGAGAATACTTTCTACTCTTTACTTGAGAATGAGATTCATCATCCATTCCCGAAGTTTTTTCTAACCTTGTTTCGTAAGGGCAGATTCAATCTCGATATAAAAGAATTGTTTATGTTTGCGAATCTCAAAGTGAGTAAACTAGCATAGTTAAATTTAACATTGTTTTAAACTTGCATGGTTATAATCTTTTATGAAGATCGTTGGGCTTTCTGATAAAGGTTGTTGCTGACATTAAAATCAATCTTGCACTGCTATCTGAGTATATTTTAAAGAAACCTTCATCACATGTAATACACTTCTGAATTCTTCTATAAAAATTTTTAAAAGCAACTTTTAAAGTCTTCTTCAGAAATTTTTTCGGAATTCAGATACTACTAATGCTTTGCGGGGCAGGTTTTTTCAATCCAAAAAACTTTGGCCAAAAAAAGTCATAAAAACAGTGGTCATAGTTCATGATGAAGAAATTTTGCTTCATCTTTACATTTTTCGAATTAAAAAGTGGTTGATTAAAACTATGTTGTTTAAGAGATTAAAATAATTAGAATTTTAGTGATTCACTCCTTTCTCATTTTTTTTATTGAAGTTTCTTTTTAATTCACTCCTTTCTCCTTAAATAACAAGAAGGAAAATTGATCTTTGGACTGTAAAAACAACTGTTTAAGGAAACTTTTTGGCGTTGCAAGCGTTTGTTTAGTCCGTTTTAAACTCAATTCCAACAATAGTTTGGTACCGAAAATAAGAAATTCTAGTTGACACACAACTTTTGTTGAAAGTTTTTATTTAAAAGACATAAAATTTACATTCAAAATTAGAAAACAAAATTTCTGAAAGTGTTCTTTTAAGTATCTTTTGAAAAATACTATCGTTTGAAAGTTAAATATCACAAATCAAAGAAAATGTTGACTAATACAAATGTTGCCAATATAGCATTTGTTTATATAGCATTTGTGGCCAATATAGCAATGTATTAGCATTTATCATGGTATATTATTTTTAGCATTATGTATTTAAACATACTGTCAACAAATTAAGAACTAGCTCAAAATAAATTTAAAATTAGAATAAAAATAATTTACAAAAATAATCAACTACTTGATGTTCAATTAGCTAATGCTTATATAAAGTTTAGATTTAGGCGCTAATTTTATAGACATCATTTTAATGTATCTAAGCATCAGGAATGTTAACTGATTTTTCATTTTCCCATAGAAAGCAACTTTCGTCTTTACGTTTTTAAAAATATTGCGTAAATATACAATTGAACCCAATATTACGAATTATTGTTTAAAGCTCAAAAAGGGTTTATAGAAGAAAAGCTTAATTTTGTACAAATGAAAAATACAATATAAGAGTTTTATCTATAAAACGATAAATGAAGATATTTAATTCTTTTAGTAAATCGATAAATCGATGATAAACCATAGGTAACGATGCTTTGATAAATCGATTCACAATATTTTTTTCCGAATGTTTTTACTAGTCCCGAATCAAATGTAAGCGCATTAATTCAGCTAAGAAAAATTATTGATATATCTAAAATCAGCTGCACATTTTCGGTAAAGTGCATAATGCAACTATTGACAAGTCTCGATGAGCAGATGGTTTTGGAATTATAAAATCCTGATCATACTCTTCATAATATTTTTGGATGATTTTCGGTTAAAAATAGCAAAAAATATTGATCTTGTCAGTAAAAATCAATCTTTTGGTATCTCAATATTTCTTGTGAATGATTGATCTTATCAATAATTTTCAAGAAATATTTTTTCCAATTGTTACATTCCTATATAAAAAGCATTACCTTATTGTATTAAGAATTGCTATGGTATAAATTAAACTAAAACCTAAAACAGTAAACAATGACATTTAATTGTTTTAATTTTTGCAAATCACAATATTTTCTTACAAAATTTAATCCAAATAATACATTTCTACTTCAATGTTACTTTATTGTATTCAGAATTGTTATGGTATAAATATAAAAAAAATTAAGTAATTTTCAAAGTGAAAAATTAATAAATAAGTAATTTTATTGAAATAACCTTATTTTCTAAATAAAAGTTTCAATGTGTGAACATATGACGCTGAAATAGGTGATACTTCACACTCTTTGAAGTTTTTCGGGAAAAATGATTAAATAACAATTTGTTTAATTGTTATTTTGCTATATTCAAACAAACAAGTCAAATAACCATAAATAAAATGGTACTCAAACTGCTTAATGCTAGAAAAAATTTTGATTAACTGCTTTCACTTAATACAATTAAAGAACCAGAATTTTTATCGCACCAACTAGGCCCATCTAATGAAGCCTGCTTAGCTGCTTGCGGCTGGATGCATATTACAGTAGAAAGGGTTAATCTGTTAATCGCATGACCGACATAATGGGAGTTCGAGGCCCAGCCTTGTAATTAATTACCAGCATAATAATTTCTTTTGATAAACCACAACCTAACTCCAATGTACATTACCGTATTTTATTGTATTCATGGTTTTTTTTAACTATATTAGTCGTAAACTACCCGTATGCCCTAAATTGGGGCAGGTCGGGGTAAATATTTCATATTAGTCGTAAACGGTTTCAAAACCGTAAAAGTAAAAAAATGTTCTTTACCGTAAACTTTACGGTTCATTGGATGGACAGACTACCGCCAGTTATTTTACCGTAATTTTAGAATGAAATTTCTAACATTGCGTGGATATAAGATCAGGTAAACGCGTTTCTTTTAAATACAATTTTTGTTGTTTTAGTATTTATATCTTTAAATTTATATTAAATACTAATAAATTTTCTTGAAAATTAAAATCTTTAAAATTTCTTTGACTTAATTCTTGAAAATTCTTAAAGCAAATCATATATTTTTTTTATTTAACAGATTGTAGTCAATGCTTTGATGTCAGCAATACCGGCTATTTTCAATGTGTTGTTGGTGTGCCTTGTCTTCTGGTTAATTTTCAGCATAATGGGAGTACAATTTTTCGGTGGTCGTTTCTATCGGTGTGTTGGAGAAGATGGACAAACATTGCCGGTCAACGTCACATCAAACGTGGAACAGTGCCTAAGCCTGAACTATTCATGGGTGAACAGAGATATCAATTTTGATAATGTTGGGAATGCCTATCTGGCTCTTTTCCAAGTTGTAAGTTAAGGATTATTGTTAAAGGAACATATAAAAGTTTTTAATTATAGTTAAAGTACTACAAAAATAGAACAATAAGCTTTACACTTTGATGAGAGGCAGTTTAGAGCATGGTTAAGTTATTAGCATAAACAAGAATATTAGTTCTAAAAGCAGTTGATAGTTGATACTGGAACGCTTCTTTCTTATATACATATGCAGCTTTGTATGTTCAAACTGCATATGTATATGAGAACTGCATATCTATATGATGGCGTCATGTATATGCCAATGCAAATAACAGTTTATAAATACTTGTCGAACTGAAGAACAGTTAGCACAGATAACAGAATATAAGTCAGGCACTGGCGTGTTGGCGAGTGGACGGTGGGTATGTGTTCCTCTCAATACTTTAAAAATCTCTAAAAGTCTCCCTCAGTTTTTCAGATAAAGAAAATTGAGCCCTGGTGGCTCAGGGGATAGAGTGACCTCAGGTGATCAGGGTTTGAATCTCAGCGACGGTTGGTTGATACGAATTCTGCACCCGGATCGCACCAACCACAATTCTGACGTAAAATATCCTCAGTGGTAGATGGATCACGGGTTAGAGTCCCCTTGCCGTCAGGCTAACCGTGAGAGATTCTCGTGGGGTTCTTCTCCATGTAAAAAGTCCACCACAAAGGAAAATTTCTCCAAATACTTGATCGAGGAGTTTATTTGTCTTCTGGATTAGATTCAAAATTGCAAGGCTACGGAGTTGAACATTGGAAGTCGTAAACTCATAATTGGGTTTTGCTGTTGAACGACGGTAATTAAATAAGGAACATTGATGCGAATTACCGTCAATTTAAAATTCTTTAAGTTAAAAAAAAGAAAGAGCGGAAAATCTTTTTCAGGTATTTAGCTCATTATAGATTTTTTTCTTTGTGTGTGACATTTAGAAAACTATTGTGTCTGCGTAATTTAATTTCGTCACATTCAAAAATTAGTCCCCTGAAACACAGGATTAAGGTGCATCTAAAACCCTCTGTTTCAATGCTTTAGAGCGTTTGGTGGAGGAACAATATCATTCACCCACTGAAGCTCCCATTGAGATATTGTCTGATATGATTAAAAAGCTATAATTACAAGGAAATAATAAAAAAACTTTTTCAGCATAAATATGAAAGATATTTACATAAAAAGCAATTCCTATCAATTTACATAAGAATAATTCCAGAACCAAGGAAGAATGGGTTTAAAAAATTATCTTATAGAAATTATCTTGTAAAAATTCAATATGTTTGACGAATGAGGAGTTAATTACCTTTTTTTGTTAGTTCTCCAGTCAGGCATTTGATAATTCTAATGTACAGTGAACAAAATATCGGACCACCATGAATAGCTCTTGATCTAATGTTCGGATCTCCCAGTTCTAAGACTCAACATTAAAGGTTCAAGGAGGTAACCTCAAATATGCAACTAAAAATAGAAATACGATTTTTTTTAAAATTGCGACTTCCAAGAACTATTTGATCAGATATCGTTCAAATTTTGTGCTGTCTCATGCAAAATTGTATTTTTTTTACATGATGTTGCAACTGTACACTATTATTGAATAAAAAATAAAGTAATAAATATTTAATTAAAGTTATTTTTTGCTTTGATAAATTAATTTTATAATTTTGTGCAACAATTTTACAATTTGCTTATAATTTCTTTGAGATATGACGAAATATGCGAAAAGTAAAATTAATATAAAAAGGGTCCAAATTTTGGACTGTTCTCCTGATCAAACTATTCGGACCACGTTTCCCAGATTGCGGCTACCTCCTATTAGAAATCCAATTCCACCGAAAAAAACTTTTCTTTATTCAGAAAAAGTACTTTTTTTTGCCTGATTTCGTAACTTAAAATATAGTTTGCATTAATTAATTAGCATATTTGAGGTCACCTCCTTGAACCATTAAAATTAAATCCTAGAGCTTGAAAAATCCGATCATTAGATAAAAAGTTATTCAGAGTGGTCCGTTTTTTACACGCTGTATGTCTATCGTGATTAAAATACAGAGTTTGTACTCTATTTGTACAATAGTAATGATTAATGTAAAAAATATTTAAAGTGCTCATTATAACGCCTCCTTAATTTCACTCGGCGGCCATATTTCGAGTGAATTAATTTTGATCTCTCTAATCATTTTCAAAATTATCTGAAATGTTTACAAATCAAATTTCTAATTCGTGATTTACTGCATAGATAATTCGTGACAGGCTACCCAACAGAAAATACGAGCAATTTATTACATTTAGAATTAACACTTTCATCGCGGCAATTGTGTGCCTATGACCCACCCTCTGCGCTAAGAGCTCCTCCCTCCCGTAGAACTAAAATTGAAACAAAACGCAAATTCTTTTAAAATTTGCTTAGTTCATTTTAAAAATATTATTCAATTGCAATTTATAGAAATACTCACTAATGTAACAATAGTACACAGCGAATATTCCTTGAAGACGAATTATCTCGTCCGTCATGATGAAAGAGTTAAATTTAAAACTTCTTATTATTATGAATAGCTTGATGTTTCGTAATAAAACAGACTGATTGTTATATTCTTTCTTTATTTTTGTGCTTAAATTTGAACAAAGGCAACATTTGAAGGCTGGACAGAAGTAATGGAATATGCAACTGATGCAACTGAAGTTGGTCAACAGCCTTACACCGAAGCAAATTTCCCTGCATACATATATTTTGTTACTTTCATCATTTGTGGTTCTTTCTTTACGCTCAATCTCTTTATTGGTGTCATCATCGACAATTTCAACATGCTAAAGAAAAAGGTAGGGATAATCTCATTTGGTACACATTATTTGCGAAAAAATTAAAGAATTTTAGAAGCACTATTAATGTCACTTTTCAGTTTCTGTTATCAGACAATTCAACCATTTGAATCATTTTGAGTAATTTAATGAAGATTTTCTTTTACAAGCATATAGGGTTACACAACCCAGTAGTAAGAATTCAATATTTTAATCGCGCTAATTATGTTGATAGGTTAACAAAAAGAGGTTAAATAGGTTCAAATAAGTGTGCATAGACTGCTCGAAACATTTATTAGTAAAATAAACTAAAAGTTTAAAACTTAAATTTTTCATTTCGCGTAAAAGTTTAGTGTTTGGATATAAAAATTTAAAATATTTAATTTAGTGATTTAAGTTCAGTTAAATAAATCGAATGGAAATGTATATTGATTGTTATAGACTGTACACAGACCACGCCTGAATATTCATATGCATAGATTTGTAGAAAAGTGTGGTGGCTTTTGTCACAACGCACAGGAAAGAGCAACGAGTTATTAAAATATAGAATAGATATCAAAATGAAAATGTAAACAACGAAATGAATTAGACAAAAAAATATACTGCTTGTAATTTTGCTTAAAATATTTTAACGGGAGTTAGATCAAAAAATGCGAGTTTGGAGAGTAGAATTATGAATTATTCAAATTTGCCAAGAATTGTTCCATTTATAAACTTATTTTTATAAAAAACGCAATTCTAAAGCATGCAGTTAAAAACTTCAATAAAACATGCAACTAATGAAACGTGAGTTAACATTCATGCTCAAAACAAGGTTTCTAAAATTGCCGATTAAAATTTACCCAGAAAAATAACTTAAAATGCCCTAATTAACCTAATAGGCGTAATAACCTAACCTAATAGACGTAAGAATCCAATACCCTAATAAGAGTAATTACCTAATAGACGTAATAACCTAATATCCTAATTAACCTAATAGGTACTTACAAATAATATTTTTTTGTTGCTTGCTGACCTTTTATTGCTGTTATAGTGTTATATAACAAGTGTAATTTTGAATATACATGTTTTAGCGTGTTTCCCGAATAACTTAAGTGAATATATGTACAACTAGGAAAAAGAAAAAAGTGGTCATCCTAAATGACTTTTGGTCTAATGATTTTCATGAACCAGGCCTTAATCTTAATGGTTCAAAAAATTAGCCTTAAATGCACTAAATATCTTGTGTAGACATTATTTTAATTTACGAAATCAGACATGAAGACGCATTTTCTGTGAATAAATATTGTTTTTTTTTACCATAGATTTGGATTATTTACTCTTAAAATATGCAAAGAAACCGGAATAAGGGAAATATGATTCGAAGAAATTCTATAGTTCAGTCAGAAGAGCAGTTGAAAGTTTGAGTCCCTTAATGCTTTTCTTTTTGCGTATTTCGCTATATTTCAAGAACATTCTGAGCGAATTGAAAAACTTTTACACATAACTATAAAATTCGTTCATCCTAATCTATGCAAAATGTAATCTATGTATCCAATCCATGTAAAAATAAACTAAAATGATTATTTATTACATTTCATAGTTTTAATTGATAAAATTGTTCGTATTGTAAGATTGAAAATTTTTTGCGTCATTTTGAAGTGGGTAATTTTTAAACACCAAATGCAAAATTTGAACGCAATCGGTTGAATAGTTCTTGAGAAATCGAATTTTAAACGTACGACTATTTCAAAATTGCACAACTTACAAACTGTTCGGCCGACTTAGTTCAAATTTTGAATTTTCTAATTTAAAACTGCGTTCTTTAAAGTCATGTGAAAATTTTACTTCCTTATTGAATAACCTTATTTATCTTATTAGTATTAATAATACATTTTTTGACCCTTATGAAATAAATATATTAATAATAAACGGTTAATAAAAATTAGCTTTATCTGGTTTTACCATGTGATAAACGAATTTTATAATTGAGTGTAAATTTCTTCAATTTGCTTAAAGTGTTTTTGAGGTATAGAGAAATATGCAAAAAGTTAAATTATTTTTAAGAGGTCCAAACTTTTTACTGCGCTGACTCTTGACGAAACTATTGGGACCATATTTACCATATTGCAGCAACTTCTTTTATTTTGAGACTCAAGAATCCTAATCCATTGAAAGAAAAGGAATGTTTATTCTGAGAAAATTCGTTTTTGTGTCTGATATCGAAACTTGAAATATCATCTGCATTAATTAGTTATCATATTTAAGGTTAGGCAGTTGGACCGTTTACCCGGAACCATGAATTCCAGTACGTAAAAAACAAATTATTATATCAAAAGTTATTGAGGGTGCTTCTTTTTTGTGCTCTGTACTCTCAAATAATTTGCTTTTTTTTCAGTTAAACGAAACGTAACAACGATTATGTTTTGTTTTGTATGCAAACCAGATGTTATGATGGGACTTAATTAAAAAAACAAATGTTAAGGGTGATATTTTGAGAATACCCAGTGTACTAAGATAATAGTTTTTCTCCAATATCTATTTTTTGTTTTAGTATGAAGGAGGCATCGTAGAAATGTTTTTGACTGAGAGTCAAAAGGCATACTATACTGCTATGCTGAAGCTTGGACGTCGCAAACCTCAACGAATTGTCACCCGTCCGCACAATGTTTATTTACAAGTATTCTATGACGTGGCTATGAGCAGAAGGTAGTCCAAATTTTAAATATTATATTTTATATTTTTATTCATTTTGTCCTTTTTGGGTATTATAAATATTTATTCAACATTTCTAATAGTTGACGAGAAAATTTTATAGTCCAAAGTATAATTTATAGCCACAAAAGATAAAAATGAGTATTAGTTAGCATAATATATAAAACAAATGCTATTTTTTTGAAAAAATGAAAATATTATGTGAGGGAAAATGTAAGTGATAAAGAAAATTATTCTTTTTCTAAAGGAAACAACACGCCTTGTTTTATTAGATGTTTTAAAATGTCTAAATAAGCAAGAATATTGCCAAATATGGCTTGAATAGTCCATCTGACACTAAACTTCTATGAAAAATAAACTCAGAAACATTTTTAAGTAAGGGGAACAAGACGCTAAAATATCTTCAGGCTAATTGAATTAATTACCTGAAAGGCATATGGGTTGATTTTATCAATCCTGAAAAAAAAAACAGTTTGAGTAAAAAATCTTAGACTCTTTGCCAATTGGCTCACATTGTAAAGCAATAGACTATGACATTTAAATATCTTTATAATTGACGACTCATTAGAAATGATAAAGATCTATAATGTTAGAAGGTAAAACTTTGTCAAAGTTTAAGAACAATGAACTTGCTATACAGGATTTACTTATATAAACTATAGTTTGCGAACTTTTTTCGTATAAAATACACTCATTTTTACCTTCTCAAACTAGATTCATTCATTAATGCTCATTATTTTTAGATTCGAGATGATTGTCTTTCTTCTAATTGTCTTGAACATGATTGCTATGACAGTGGAACATTACCAGCAGCCCGAGCAAATTACATCTATCTTAGATAAACTCAACATTGCATTCACTTTTTTATTCTGCATCGAGGCCATCATTAAAATAATTGGTTTGCGGCAGTATTATTTCACATTTCCATGGAATGTCTTTGATTTGACTGTAATTGTCATGTCTGTAGTAGGTAAGCATGTAGTATAAAAAAATGCTATAAATATTCATATACAAAGATTTTATTTTACATATACATCTAAATTAAATAATTAGAGCAGGTGATAAATATCATTTCCACAGATGTATCATTTATGTTACAAACATATGTGCAAAAATATAAACTTATGATGAAAGCACTTTTAAAAAAAAAAAATTTGGATTCAGACCTTTCAATATGAGTCTAACCGTAATATGGAAATTTGAATTTAATGTTATATAGGAGATAGTATGAAAGTTAAAGCTTTTTAATGTTACTTTTATTTATCTGTAAAAATTTTCACGTGAATAAAATTTTTTTTATATAATTAAAATAATAGTTTTAAAATACATTTTAAATAACTATTTATCATTTTTAACTCGTTTATTTTAATAATAATCAAAACAATTTGAATTGAGAAGTATAAAAATTGCGCGATGTTAATATGCATTTTTACTTAACGAAATCTTAAAGGTCGAAATATTTTGCTGAGAATTCACGCTTTCAAATAAAATATCAATCCAACATTGAACTTTTAATTTGGTTTAGTGTTTCTCAAATTCGTGTTTAGTTTACTTTGTACCTAAAAAAGAAAAAACAAATACATAAAAATATAGCTATATATAGTATAGTTTTTAACTAAGTGTACTGAATTTAATCTCTTTTTAAGAACCATTTCAATTTTAAAAAAGATCGTGTCATGAGAAATTACAGTCTAACCATTTCTGGTTGTCACAAATGTTTTACGCATTAATAATTCTCAGAGAAGTTTTCAGAACTCGCGAAACCATTTTTTATTGCTATATTTTTAAAGTTTTCCCTTTGTTTCACAATGAGCCCGTTTATTACATTATTTTGAAACTTGTGTTATTTTTCAGTTTTAGATTTTTTGTCTCGATTTAATTTTTCTTCTTACATGCCGTTACTGTTTTCAGGTATTGTTTTCGAAGAAGCCCTCAGGACACTAGTAATAAGCCCCACGCTTCTCCGAGTCATTCGACTCATACGCATAGGGAGGATTCTCCGACTGATCAAAGCTGCGAAAGGAATTCGAAAGCTTCTCTTCGCTCTTGTTATATCTCTACCAGCTCTATTCAACATTGGTGCCTTACTTTTTCTGATTACATTTGTTTACGCCATCGTCGGAATGTCCATTTTTGGTCATGTTAAAATTCCAGAGTTAGGAAGTGTAGGTGGGGGACTGTCTGAATTAATAAATTTTCAAACATTCGCCAACAGCATGGTTCTTCTTTTCCGATTGGCGACATCAGCAGGTTGGAACGATGTTCTCGATAACCTCATGATTCAGCCACCTAATTGTGATCCACTTTATTTAAATTTACCAAATGGCAATTGTGGTCATCCGACTATCGCCATCATTTATCTTGTTACTTACATCATCATCAACTTCATGGTCATCATCAATATGTATATCGCCGTTATTTTAGAGAACTTGAGTCAGGCCAGTAAAGAAGATACTGGCATTTCTGAAGAAGACATCGAGATGTTTTATGTTTGCTGGTCGCAATTCGATCCCAACGCATCGCAATTCATCCGTCACTGCCAGCTTTCGGATTTCGTAGCTTCGTTGGATCCTCCACTGGGAATCGAGAAGCCTAACGAGCCTGCATTGGTCGCGATGGATCTCCCAATAGCTTCAGGAGATAGGATCCATTGCCTAGATATCCTACATAGTCTCGTGAATTTGGTGTTAGGTGATGTTGAAGACACTGAAGAATTCCGTGTCATACGCCGACAAGTTGATCAAAGGTTTAGGAAAAGCTTTCCTACTAGAAATCTTGTTGAAATTGTTTCAACTACTCATAAGAGAAAGCAACAGGATAATGCTGCCAGAGTGATTCAGAAATCGTATAAAAAACACATATCCAATTTAAAATCTAGGACGAAAAGCGATGACTTATAATTCGAAGTACATCAATAAATATTACGCAACTAATATTATTCTGTGTGCTAATGGTCAAACTTTCTTCACATAAGGAAATCTGAAAATGCACCTGCAAAATTCATCAAGTTTCCTTAATATAAAACTAGAATAACAAAGAGAGAAACTGCCTTATAGGCATGAAAAGCAACAAAAGACGTCTTTACTTTGTTAATAACTGTTGCACTATGCATGTGCCTTATTACTATACTGTTGAATTTTATCAAAGCACAAACTGAATGTTGCGATAAGCTTTTTTATTTAAGGTATTTCAATTTGAAAATTCGTTGTTACTCATTTCTATTTAAATTTAATTTATCGAATAATTTTGCAATGTATAAATTTTAATATCAATTCAACCTGACTAACTAACATAATTTTCCACTTTCAAAATTAATTTGTCATTTTAGATTCTAAATTTAACAATCTTACATCTTTTAACGTATTCCATATTTGAATTTCATTAATTATTGCCATTCCTGATATGAGTTAATAGTTTCATTTCCTATAGTTAATAACACTAACCACTTATTTAATGCATATATTGTTTAAGAGATTAATTTTAATTCATTTGAAATAAAAATATCTTATGAACATTTTTATTGATTTTGTAACAGATCTGAGCAAAATATCATTCGTATTATTAAATATCTTAGTAAATATTATTCTTTGTAATAGCAATTACATTGGGCATGAAATCAAGATTATTTGTAGTAATGTAATAATTGTAATCATATATCATGATATTGTAAACTATGATAGCAAGTAATCAGTATTGTAATAAACTACATAATGCCCACATTTTTCGTAATAACTGAATGTATGATCTGAACAAAAACTGACAAAATTCCAAATTTAAAAAGGTATTTACATTTATAAGGTTTCTGCGTTTTTCAATTTCTAATAATTACAAGTAATCATAGATCATGATATAATAAATTATAATAACGCTTCTTGCTAACAATTTGCGTTCTTTTTCTGTTTTTGTAAATACTATATACATTTTTAGAAACGAAAATACATTGGCATGATTTATTATAACTATTAATGTATTACTTCTTTTATTTTTTTTCTAGCGATGAATCATTTTCATTTAAATATTACTTTTTAAATGCTAACTTAAGACACAGAAAATTCGCCACTTTCCATTACTTTAATCCGTTTTTGTTTTCATTTTCCACTCATGAATCTCCATGTATGATTTCCATTTTCTTTTTATATAAGGAATTTAGTCTCATAATTAAATGTATTGTTCTCTTATCCTTTATGTATTTCTCAACCGAAATAATTTCTTGTGTATTTATTATACCATATTTTAATAAACGTAAAGCGATATATACCGACGAAAAAGTATGCTAGACCACGTAATCAACTTTTAAGAAAAATTTACTAACTGGTTTACAATATATACATTTGAGATCAAACAGTTAGTAAATGCATTAAACAAAAATATAATGATAAGTTTCAAAATGCAGATATCTGAAAAGATATTCTAACAAAGTATCGTTTTTAGTATTAAAAATAGGGTATTTTTGAGTTAAATGCTGGATTATAATAACATTTCTTTTGTACATTCTTAGAAAACTTAGAGTGCAATGAACCACAATATCGTTTACTTTTCTGTAACCTCAACTAAAAGCTAATATGAACCATATTTTCAAGCAAATTAAACCAGTTTAACCGCGATTTCACGAAACTATGGTTTAAGTTAAAAAATAGTTCAATTTGGAACATTATTAGGATATTAAAAATTTGCTTAGATTTTATGATGCAGGATATTTTTGTTCAATACAGAAAAGATTTTTCTAAGAGCAAATTTTTGTATGAATAAAGCAACAGTGAGTGTCTTAAAATAATTTTAGATTATATGTTTCTTTAGTTTTGTATTATTTTTACGTTGATATTTCTCACCAAATTTATGTTACTATTTACATATTTCACTTTTGTTAATGTAGAATATCTGAAAAGTAAAGTGTTTTCTTCAAAGATTGCTGCCTTTATTTACATGTTGTACTATTTTTTAACAAATAAAACAAAATTCTTTAAAATAAGGAACTGCACTTTTTAGCATCAACATTAAATACATTTATTCAGTTATAACTTTTAAATTGAATAGTAATTAAGATGAATTATTGTGAACAGCTCCATGCACATGTGACAGATTTTGAAATAAACTGGTAAGAGCCAATAAGTTATGTGAACAGCTTATAATTAATTGCTATGGCGCAAATGACATTATCACGTTCACAATTTCTCGAATAACCCTATATGAAATGTAGAATTAATAGAATTCTGTTGCATAGTGTTATACTGGGTCCATAAAAAGTTTTCAATTTGTTGCAAAAAAGCTTCTAGATTTCAAATTTCAATATTTTCTCAAAAAATTATTTGTTCAAGTATTATGCTTCACAGTTTTTTAATAAGAAAAAATGGTCAAAATACAACACGTTGTCTTATCTTGGATCACCATATGTTCTATTTTGGACCATTAAGTATTTTTTCTTTTATACTAATTTTGAGTTCTATTCTTCTTAACCGGTTTGTTAATTGAATTAAAATATTCATGCAGTGTAGGACTTGATTTTCATGTAGCCTCCTTAAGCTAAACTAAATATAATTAATTATAAACTTTATACCGAAGAGCATTTTATTGGAATATCGTGAAAATTTACAGCTTTACTAAGGACACAAATATTTGTGAATGTTGTCAGAGACAACGTTTATAGGAAAGTATATTTGTAGTAAGTTACACATGTTTTAGATCTGTTGCAGATTTTTGTTGAAGCGGTCTATGGTTCAATTTTATGGTAAACCAAGCATATAGAGGTTCGATTTTGTTAGGATAAACGAAGATAAGAAAATGTTGGTATTTAATCTTCAGGAGAATGACATTCCTATACTTATGTACTTGAGTTATGCTTTCAAATATAGGTATTATCAGGGCTCGAAAAAAACTCAGAAATTTTACCCGTCCCCGAGGACGGCCTGTCCCAGGGCTCGAAAAAACTCAGAACAGTTACAGTATTAACTGTATTAAACAGTTTTTTTTTTTGTTCAATTAAACTGATTACACGTGGTTCAAGGTATTCGCCATATATTAAGATTCTCCCTTGTACTTTTCAATTTGAAATTTCAAGATTAGATTCTTTCTGTCATTCTTGGGGTGAAGGGTATAAGTTAACAATTAACATTTATAAATACTTGTGTATGTAAATTAGCAAAAAATAGAAAATTAGAAATACAGAACAATTTCAATAACTGTGGATCTAAGGATCTGATTTTTACGTACCAAGATCCAATTTTAATTGTTGGAGGGGCTAACCTGAGAAATGCTAAATAATTAGTGCAGACCTGTAGGGAAAAAATGAGCGTAACACCCCACTTATAGGGTTGATGACCTCTCTTACTATATTGCTATGGGATGAGTGTTTTACAACATTTCCTCAGTATAGATGAGTACTTTACAACGCTACTGATAAGCTCTTAATAGGAATGACAAATCATGCTTTTTTATGCAGCAGAGTTTGGACTAAGGAAACACTTCTTTTCGTTTGGGTATTTACTTCTTCACGACTTTGGATATATTTGAAAAATTTGACGCTAACTCTTTATTCTGAAGCAAATTTCATATAAATAACTCATTGCAAATAATTATAAAAAAAATTCGCAAAGTGTCCTCCTTTATGTTTACCATATAATGCTCGTAACGTCGCATGGTTTAGACTTCACAAATGCTTCTTAATAATGTTTCAAGTATTTATTTCTTCACATCTATGGGCATTTTTTAAAGATTTGACGTTTACTTTCTTGAACAAGTTTCAAATGAATTTCAAATTAGAAAAAGTTACAAAAAATTCGCAAAATGTCCCCCTTCATTTTTATATGTATGCTCTTAGAATTGTTTGGACTAAAGATTGTTTCCTAAAAATTTTAAGGTTCTCACATTTTTTCACATATACGGGCATTTTTGAAAGAGTTAACGTTCATTATGTAATCTTAATCAAGTTTCAAATGATTTCCTAATTGCAAAAAATTATAAAAACGAAAGTCGCAAATTGCCCTCCTTTGCGTCTATTATGCATATGCTCTTAACACATCATGGTAAACAAATCCTTCTTAAAAATTTTGAGTACTGACTTCTTAAAATATATTGGTAATTTTGAAAAAAAATGTCACTCTCTTTGTAATTTGAAATGAATTTCAATTGAATTTCGCATTGCAAAAAATTATAAAAAGTTCACAAAGTTCCCTCCATTATGTTAACTATATATATGCTCTAACTAAGCAAATGCTTCTTAAAAATATTGAGTATTTATTTCTTCTAATCTATAAGGAGTTTAGAAAAATATGACGCTTACTTTGTATTATATAGTTAAGTTAACATAATGCAGGGCACCTTGTGAATTTTTTACACTACTTTTCTCGTATTTTGAAACGCCTTTTAAATTACAAAGTGAGCGTCATTTTTTTGAAAAAAATACCAATATGTTTCATGAAATAAGTATTCAAAATTTTTAAAATGATTTGTTTACTCACTATAAGAGCATATATATGTATAATTTATTTATTGAAGGAAAATTTGAGATTTTTTTTTTAATTTTTTGCATTGAAGAAATAAATTCAAACTTGCTTCAAACAATGAAGTGAGCGTTAAATATTTTCAAAAATACCCCTAGATGTGAAAAAATAAATATCTAAAATTTTTAAGAATCATATGTTTAGTCCGATCCATGCTACGTTAGAAGAATTAATATAGTTAGCGTAATGAAGGATATGTTGCAATTTTTTTTAATAATTGTTTGCAATGAGGAAATCATTTAAAACTTGTTTCAGATTATCAAGTGAGCACCATTTTTTCCAAAAAATACCCTTATTTGTAAAAAAATAAGTAATCAAAAGTTCAAAGAAGGATTTGTTTACTCCATACAATCACACATTGAGAGCATATATATAATTGACGAAAAGGAGGGCAATTTACGAATTTTTTATAATTTTTTGCAGCGGGGAACTCATTGGAAACTTTATTAAGATTGAAAAATGAGCATCAATTCTTTCAAAAATACCCGTATATGTTAAAAAATATGAACTCAAAATTTTTAAGAAGCCATTTTTTTGTCCAAAAAATGCTACGCTAAGAGCGTAACTATAAAAATAAAGGGGGCAATTTTTTTATCGTTTCAATAGTTGCAAATTTTTTTTCCAGTCACGATTTCATTTGAAACTTATTTTAGATTACAAAATAAACCTTCACATTTTTCAAAAATACCCATAGATGTAAGGAAATAAATACTAAAAGCATTTAAGAAGCATTATTAAGAAGCATTTGTGTAGGCTAAACCATGCGACGGTTAGAAGCATATATATTGTTAACATAAATGAAGACGCTTATTTGTAGCTTGTTTCAGATTAAAAAGTTAGCATCAAATTTTTCAAATATACCCATAGTTGTGAAGAAATAAATACTCAAAATTTTTAACAAGCATTTCCTTAGTCCAAACTATGCTAGGTAAAAAGCCGTGCTACGTCATCCCTTCTAAGAGCTCAGCAGTGTGGCTGATTTTTTTAGAGCTGTTCGATAAATTTTGGCCAGGAATACAAATCTCTCAAAAAAAAGGGTATGTTTCTTCAAAGAAAGTACGTTTTAGTTTCTGATTTTGCTACTTAATATTGTTAGCAAAAATTAATTACTATATTTTATGTTTCCCCCTCTAACCATTGAAATTGGGTTCTAGTAAGTGATAACCCAATGATTATTGTTCCATGTATTTTTTTTCGCAATGTAAATTTCTAAAATATTGAGCGAATTGTTTTTTGATTGAATAACTTACGCAACTCTTACAAAATGTTGTTTACAGCTTGTACAATTTAAGCATATCTCATATTGCACATCGTCCAAAGAATTTCGCACCATAATTCAATCATATTTACTTCATGAAGAAAAAGATCATACCGCCATTGGTTTTGTCTAAATAATTATAATCTAAAATAAATAAAAGAATCCTGCAACTTGTCAAAAAAAATCGACAGGTATTCCTCTTGTCTTAAAATATTACTTGTGGTAAAGATAAGAGGGATGATAATTTCGTTTCCTCTAGCATAAAAAGAAATTGATGATTTTTTTGTTTCAAACTTTAGTTTTCAGTTTCATCGGTTGTCGACATTTTTGTCTTTTTAGCTTATTTGGGCAGGTAAGTAATAGTTACAAATATTTAAAGTATCAAATATTTTTTCTTTGAAATTGGAATAAGGAAAAAGTCTAAAACCGATAAAACTGCTAAGATAACATCTTTTGTAAAATGACTTTACTAACAAAAATTTTCCTATAAATAATCTAATAATAGAAATAATTCAAGCTATTCAAATATGAATTTGGTTTTTTTTTACTCCTACTACTATTAATCTCGATTAAACACGATATTAAGGCTTAACATTGCAAACATAAACTATTTTAAACAATTTGGTTTTAATATTCTCCAACCATTTTTAAGAATTTTATAGAAACATTTTAAAAATAAGCATTTATGGATAAATTTGATCCATATACACAGGCTTAAGCATCACTAATCTAGTTGACTTAATGAGCATTTTATATTCGATGAGAATGTAGTAAGATAACACGAGCATAGTTCGGAAAGCCATGGAAAAAGAACTCCGCCATTTAAGAAAAAAAGAGCTCAAATTTAGCTGTTTATAATTCGCGTAACAATTACTTTCTGAAAACTAAGTGAAATATTTTTTTATCTCTTCTGCATGATTATTTCATAAATGATTATCATATTTATAGCATAAATGAATGAAATACTTCCCTAGGTTAGTGCATAGTTTTAAAGTCGTATTTGTCATAACTTCATTCCAATAAAAATTATTGGATAAAGATAGAATTGTGTTAATTTATGTTAGTGTTTTTCGTACTATGTTCTTATATAGAAACACAAAACTTTCTAAGCAATGCCAAATATATAATCTTCTTTTTTAGTCCCATTATATACATAAAAAATACATCTGTAATATTTTTAGCTACATTTGTTCTATGATTAAATCTACTATAAACAGAGATAAAAGAAACCTAAATTAATAGCACTTTTCGGAATTTATGCTTTCGTTAAAAAGATAAATTCTGCATGTCATCTAAAATAACATGCATTTATTCAACATTGAAATAAATTTAAGAACAAGAAAAATGGTGAAAAATTACAATAAAAATGTTACTTACGTTACAAATTTTTACGTCACTAACTCACGAGATTCTTAAGGAATTAACATCTATACTCATTTTATAGAACTAAAATAAAATAAATAACCAAACGATTAAAAAAAACTATGAATTTACTTTAATTAGAGAAAACGATAAATTCCTCAATCTTACTAATAAATAAATTTTTATTTTAGCGTATTGGTGAAACCTTTTGAGACAGAGTGTCGCCATTTTGCAAGGCTTTGAAAATAAAAAGTATTTTAATAATTACAGATGTGGGAGGGTGTGCGTGTGTGTTTTAGCAATAGAGTGGTGATATATTTTTCTGTAATCGGTATTAAATAATTTTATTAGGAAATTAAAATAATAAAATTAATTATTCAAATCAACCGTTTCATTCTTCGTGTGTATAAAAAAGACTTCCATTCATACTTTATAGTATTTAAGTAACAAAAGCCTATGTTGTGATTGAAAAATGCAGCATAATAAAAATAATATTAAATAGTGAAAAATAATAGAAATAATTTATAAATATGAATACTAATAATAACTTTTACTATTTCATGAGTCGATCGCAACAAATGATTATATTTATTCATATAGTGCGATTTTATACGTAAATAATAATTCATTTTATTTATAAAAATAAATATCTGTACTAAATTATTCATTTCAAAAATAAAATTATTTATTCAAATAAATTGAATGCTTTAATTCTAAAGTAAAAACAGGCATCAATGCATGCATTATAGTATTTAAAGCATAAAAATCTATGATGTGACTGATAAGCTCAACTTAAGAATAACATAAATAAAAATAATAAAATATTAAAACATTATCAAAACAAAAAGTACAACGCACCCGTATTTCTTAAGTAAATTATGCACATTCTACCAAAAATACGACTTCAAAGCAACTCAACTGAATCCAAATAGACGTTCATGCATCTAATTCACCTAACTCAAACGATTTATTTAGAACTGAAGAAATTCGCGGGAAAATCTAACTTATTCTAAGTGGACGATGAGTTCGATTTCGAAGAACTTATGTCTTCTTTTCCCTAAACAACCTGAAAATGTTTGTCGGGACTAAACAAAAATGAAAGTGCAAAGTCAAGGACCTGAAAACACTGGTGATTATGGGGAAAAGGCCAGAGAAATTATATTGGCATTATAAATTTTGTAGACATGTCACTTTTTAAAGCAGCGCTTTGTTGATTTTTCCCCGGAACTAGTTGGTGTATTTCAAAAAGAAAATATATCTCGAATTATCATTTACTTTAAAAACTTTTCGATGAATTTATTTTAAAGGCTAAGAAAAAAAATCTGTTTGTACTGATTCCATGTTTTTCATTCAAAGGGTGACCATCGCAACCGAAGATGCATAAGACAATGGGAAGAATTTTGAGTTTACTTGTTATTTTAGGGTTTATAATTTCTATCCAAGCTGGTAAGTCTATAGTAAATTCAGTATTTAATAAAACTATATATGTAACAATTTTATATGATCAGTAAAAATTTGCATGAATTATATGATTTCGAAATTTTATCTATGCAAAAATTTTTATTTGTTTTAGTTTTATTTTTCGAATTAAACCATTTCAGTATATTGAATAAGTAATGTTTTGAAAAGAGTAAAAGTGTTTGTTTAAGAAAACTAAAATTTAAAAAAAATATTTAGTTTGAGAAAACTAGCTATGAAAGTCTGTTGATCAAATTAGTTTATTAAATTTTAAAAATAATGCAGTTCGTCAACATCGAATTCACCCAAAACCCGTGAATAAACAAGGACTTTTTTGCGATAGTGAGTTTTCTTACATGCGTTTGTGTAAAAAGAAATTAAAAAAAAGGCAAGTTTAATAGAAAGATTTTTTCTAAATGAAGAAATAAATACTATTTAACAGAGATTGAAATTAGACTCGAAAATTTTAATCATGACTAAATTTAGTCTGATTATTATTCATATTCAAAATTTAGTCATTATATTAAATTCAATATGCAAATTTTTACGAATTTTTGATTGATAGTTAATGACTAAATCAATGGTAAACACTACTTTTTATGGAATTTTTAACTAATTAATTTAATTTGCAAATCTCATATACATTTCTGGTGGAATTTATTCTAGGGTTCTGCATTAATACACGTACAAGAGCAGAAAAACACACCCTTTTATCGACTTTCAAGCATTTAATTTCAAATTACAGCTTTTTTTCCCTTACCAATCTGCAATTTGACGAAAGTTTAAAAAGTAGGTTTAAGCTGAAGGAACTGCCTAAATATTTGTTACACTTGGTATAATGAACGAAAAATTTATATCACCCTGAATAACTTTTGTTCTATTGATCAGATTGTTCTAAAAACTATTCTTAATGGTTCAAAGTGTTGACCACATATGTGCTAATTAAATGCTAACTGTAAATTAAGTAACAAAACTAAACAGAAATACGTACTTTTCTCTGATTAAACTTAGTTTGATGCAATGTTTGACTACTAAAATGGATGGGATAGCTATACTCAGAAAAATAAAGTCCTAATAAGTATGTCCGGTAAGAGATCGAAAAAATTAAGCTCCCAAACGTTAAATATTTTACCATATCTTGAAAACTTTTTAATCAAATTTAAAAATTTTGCTCACAATTTTTTAAAATTGGAATCTCTTAAATAACAATGAGAAGAAATTTTTTTTAAAAATTATTTATTATTTTTTAGAGTTTCATTTAATAAAATTAGGGTCAAAATATTTTAATTGCAAGTTATACGATTTCGATTAAATTTAAAACTGCAAAATTTTAGATGAAAAATACAAAACTTGAACTATAAGGGGTCAAACTGTTTCGAATTTATAAATTTTGAAAAGTAATGTTTTTACATATTTATTTTCTAAAATAGTAATCGACCAATTTTGTTCAAATTTGATACCAAAAATTACTTTGCTGAACTACTTAAAAAATTGCATTTTACAATTCAATATTTTTCGACTAATTAATTAAAAATATTTTTTATTAAAGGTTATTTTTCAGGGCATTATCTTTGGATAAACGAGTTTTATAATTGTGTGCAAAAAGTTTTTGCCTTGCTTAAAAATTTTCAAAGACATTACGAATTACGTAGAGAGAAATACTAACATTAAGAGTCCTAAATTTCCTGAGATAGTATTAATTTGAATTTTTTATTCGTTCAAAACTAATCAGAATTCCAAATTCGGGGGAAAAAAGAAATATGTTTACTCAGAGAAAGTGTGTCTTTGTAAAATTATCTGACAAAAATCTTTTTTTTTCCTGCTTGATCACTTTACCACTCCTATAAATTCAACTGCAAACCGATGTTAAGCAGTCGCAAGCTGATTCGATATTAAAAAAATATATAAATTTATTTTTCTAATTTTCTTAAAATATATTGTTATATTTCATTCCAATGAATTCCGATTTTTTTTCCTTTACGAGTTCTTCTATTGTGGGCCTTATTTATGTGAAAAAAGAAGAAAAAAATTTGTTTCCTTTTCGGAATTTTTTTTTAAACATACTGGACAATGTTTCTACCGTTTAGTCATAATAAAATAAATCTTGAATTATTAATAATAAATAATGTTTTTAAAAAGATGAATAATTAATACATTGGTCAACATTTTTCTGTCCAATTATTAAAGTCTTATTCCTTATTCAGGAAGTATTCAAAGTCTTTATTCATTAATCTGAATGAAGAAGTTCCATGTCTGTTGTTTAAGCTTAATGGTACAGTTATTGCTAAGAAAAAAGGTATTATTTAGTCAAAAACAAAATATGGAGAGTTTTGTTTGATAAAAAAAACTTTTAATTTATATTAGACGAATTTTATTAAAAGAAACATTTCATTGAAGATAAAGGGATTTTAACATAAACATGATAAAAAAGTTATAATAGATGACAAAAAGATTTCTTTTAAAAATATGTATTAACTTTAAGTATAAGGTGAGCTTTAACTATTTTTGAGAGGGACATTTTAATAATTTTGAAAAGAGGTTTTTACCTCTTTTTACTTAAGTATAAACGACATAGTCTGAACAATTTAAGTAAGAAGTGTGGTTAAACTAACTATTACATTTTATGCACCATTTATGAACAGTGTGAATTTATTTGTGACGAGAAAAGTTATCTTAGTGTCTTATTTTAATAAAGAAAATGGCCTTAAAAAATTTTAATGAAATACAACGATTTTATAAAGAACGGTATTATTATGTATCATTCCGCAATATTCGACTTAACCTAATTGCTTTTACTATTCTGGACACATTTTAGAAAGAAAAAAAACATGAAATAATTTTTTTGTTGCATTTTTTTGTATTTTTTTTTCTTCCTTTTTGTATTTTGTACAACATTTTAACTTTGAAAACTGTACCTTAATTAAATTTTCTTTTCCGATGGAAATTTGAAAGACAACAAATAAATAATTAAATGAAATCATAAATTATCTTTTAATTAATGATTTATTTCATCACTTGATATTATATATCCTACTTTTGTTTTTGATGTTTTTTCAAAAAAATATTTATTTTAAGTTTGTATTTTTGTTTTATATCTTATCGATTTCCTTTTTATATTTAAAATCAAGATTTGATGCCGAAATCCAAAAGTCCATATAAGGTCGTATGCTACTTAGGAAGTTGGGCTAATTACAGGTATGGTGATGGAAAATTTCTTATTGAAGACATTGATCCAAGGCTGTGTACTCATTTGATTTATGGTTTTGCAAAACTTGGCCACGACAACAAGATTGCTGCATATGACACTTATTTAGATTTAAAAGAAAACTGGGGACTGGGTAAGTCTTGAAATGATACCGAATATCTATAAGATAAAATTCATCAGCGAATAATTAATAAGTTATAATTAAAATTTTATTTATAATTCATAATTTTTATAAGTTCTACCAAAAAATTACTTGCTGATAAATGTAATGAAATTATTTACATAATTTTTGAATTTAATAAAGTTGTTTAAAAGATTTTTCAAAATGGAAGGAGATGCATTTGAATATTTTAGTGTATCTACTAAAAACTGATCTACTAAAAATTGATCGACTTAAAATTAAATTATCTTTAAATTTTGCTTTCGAAATTTTAAAACTTGAGTTTTTTTTTAAAATTAATATCAAAACCAAAATTTTTTAAACCGTTGAAACATTTAAATATAGTTTAATATATAAACTACAAAAAATAACGGGATCAAATTACGGTATGAACGGACATTTTTGGAGCATCATTTGTAAAATTCATTTTAACGTAAATTCCATTTTTTCGTTAAATATTACACCGTTAATTTTGCAGTAATATTTATTTAATTGGAGTAATTCGCTGATTTTACGGTAATTATTACTGTATAAATTACGGTATATCAGATTTTTTGTTCCGTAACATGTTTCGGTAAAAATTGATTTTACCATAAAAATATCGGCATCCTGAGTACCGGTAATTTTTACTGGAATTTGATACAGATTTTTTTTGCAGTGTAATGGTTACTAAACTAAAATATCTTATTGTTTAAGAAACTTGGAAAAATTAGATTTTGATATTTCTTTCCAAAGAAACTAAAAATTTCTGCTTAAAAATATAAATCCACCTACAGATAGGCAAGAATGTTAAGAAATGATGGACTTCAATTCGAACAGCTCGAAATGTTCTTCTTGTAACATACATTGTGGCAAAAAAAATCTTTAAACTGTCAATACGAGTATAAACATAAGGATATTTTTTCTCTGTAACTATACCATGAATTAAATTACAGTACGTTTAGAATTATGCTACTCTTCAGTTTAATTTTTTTACTTCAAATAAGGATCCGAAGAAAGTGTATATCAAGCTTTTGTAAACATTGAGTTTCAACTTACAATAAATGCCGTCAATAAATTTGTGATTAAATAATATCGGTATTCATCGACCTTTAATCAAATCCTAGATCGAATATACCCTGACTTTTACTATACCGACCCCCAGGAATCGATGTCGACTACTTTGATGACTCTTAACCTAAAGAAATATTTATTACATCTTATAAACTGAAAGAGACAGAGAACCTTAAAGATGACTCTTATATTCTCGATACTAAGAACTAATTTTTTGTGTGTTAGATAAATATACATTTGTTATCTGTTACGCATGTATAAGAAATTCAAAATAAATATTTCACGGACACATTAATTCTGAACACTTTTTGGGTTACTTATTATTAAAAAAGATCCTCATTTCACCACTTTTTCAAAAATTCAATAAATTCAGAAACAAGAATGAAATAGAACAGATCTTAAATGAAATGTTTTTAAAAGTGCGCTGAGCCAGGCAAAAAATTTAAACTACACTGTAAAAAATACCTGATAAAATTCCGGTTTAAAGTTCCGGCACTCAGGGTACCGGTACTTTTTACCGTGAAATCCATTTTTACCGGAATATGGATCCATTTTTATGGGTATTTATTTAAAATCCATTTTTACGAAGCAAAAAAATCTGATATACGGAAATTTTTCAGTATTACTTACAATAAAATCATCGTAAAAATTACGGTCCAATATTTTACATTAAAATGGATTTTACGGTAAAATAAATTTTACGGATGATGCTCCCAAAGTTCGGGTACTCTATATCGTAATTTGATCCGGAATTTTTCACAGTGTAGGTTCAATAATACTTCAAGTGCAGACATCGTTTATTTTCCAAATTTCCTGCATCAACTCATATTTGTTTAACCTTTTCAGCAATTTAATTTACCTTCAACGACCTCATAATATCGACTTTTTTACAACTGTTTAATTCAAACATGTTAACGTATGAATAATATGAAATCGTGATTTTAGGAGCTTACAATCGATTCAATGAGTTGAAGAAGAAAAATTCTAAGCTGAAAACACTCCATTAACCATTTGCTCCATTAACACTCCATTTGCTTAACCATTTCAGCGATTTAATTTACCTTCAACGACCTCATAATATCGACCTTTTACAACTGTTTAATTCAAACATGTTAACGTATGAATAACATGAAATTGTGATTTTAGGAGCTTACAATCGATTCAATGAGTTGAAGAAGAAAAATTCTGAGCTGAAAACACTACTTGCGATCGGCGGATGGAATGAGGGATCCACAAAGTATTCCATGATGGCCAGAAATCCCTCGAGTCGAAAGATTTTCGTTGAGAGCTGCGTCAACTTCCTAACTAAATACGGATTTGATGGCCTGGATCTTGATTGGGAATATCCTGCAGCAAGAGGTGGTACTCCAGAAGACAAAAAGAATTTTGTTCTCTTATTAATGGTATGAAATTTGTTTTTAGCTTTACTTGGAATTTGGTAAGTGTCTGGGTAGAAAAAGAAATCTATTCTATATATACTCTGTTGCAAGTTAAGAAAAAACCATTATCCTTATGGAGATAGCCTAATTGCATCTAAGTGCACGTCAAATGGATGCCAACGTCGCCACCTCTTTATACAACGTTGCACAGCCTCCTTTTTGCTTTCTTTCTTATTTGCAACAATAATCAATAAACACGAAATGAGAATTAATAAAAAATTTTAGCTAAAAATCAATACAATTACACGTCTTTCTGTTAGCATTTAAAAAAAACAGAGGAAAGAATAATAAATATTGTTTCTTGCAGACGATTTCTTTCTACAGGGAAACAAAAGTAAAAAAAAAAATCATCTCGCATTTGATTTGTTTATAGCATGTCAGCATAGGCGTGTTATTTTTAGTGGTCCAATCAAATTCAATGCTCTTGCAGCGTCATATAAGTTGTTTTTATTTCAAGAACGAGCGTTCGCTTTGTTTATCGAAATATGTCGCAAGTCTAGGATTCCAGTAAGGCTACGTAAGTACAACCTTTTTTAAATAATATATTTTGATATATATCGTAAAAGACAGCACGAATTAAATTTTTTTCTGACGCGTTTAACTTTTAAAAGCTTTTGTATTGTTTTAAAAGCATATTTGCATAATTTGATAACGAAATAAAACGGAACTATATGCAGTCGCAGATGATTAATTACATCCTATACCGCAAAGGTTTTTTTTTCTTTCTTTTTTTTTTAACTTGCAACGTAGTATAACAAATATTTTGAGTAATTCAACTTGATAGCAGCATTATTCGACAAATATTCTCTTCTACTTTTTTTTAATTATTTATTTTCTTAAAAAATATTTTTTTTATGCCATTTCGCTAAATTTCATGGCAGGTGAACCAAGCCAAGTTTCGCCATTTTCTCCACTTTTTTTATATTGAAAGAGATATCGGATTTCTGCCAAGATGGAACTGGAATATTAAACTAAAATTAGTGATTTTCTGTTATTTCCAGGAGTAATTTAAAAAATTCGGGATCAAATTACGGTGTAAAGTACATTTGCCGTAAAATATATAATTATTACTGTAAAAATTACGGTATATCAGATTTTTCATTCCGTTACATGTTCCGGTGAAAATTGCATTTACAGTACAAAGTACCAACAGTCTGATTGCCGGTACTTTTTTCTGTAGTTTGATTCAGAATTTTTTACAGTGAGGCTTTGAAACAATTGTTTGAAGGAAGATAACTTACAAAATAAATTTTGAACATTACTTTCCATTTTCTAACTTTAAACATATAAATAAATTGTGCCATTATTAAACTATTAGCCTAGTTTAAAAAACATGTAAAACTATTTTATTGCAGCTACATATGAAAACAAATGCCTTAGCTTAATCAATTTCGGCGTTTTGGTAAAACATAGAATTATTTACTCTATATTTCCTTGCCAAAATCTGATGCAGAAAACCTAGACAATGTTAATCATTCTATAATTAAATTTTAAGAAAAAGCAATGTCATTGTTGATTTCTTAGGAAAAGTGAAATTCTTTTAATATTTATATTTATTTATTATCATTTATTACTTATGCTTATTTGTAGCATCACAAATTAAATATCTATGAGTAATTTTTGATGAATAAACGAGAGAGAAAAGATGAATGGGAAAAAAAGATAACTAATGAAAAATATAATAGATTTAATATAAAAAAAGATGAATAGATTATTTAAAGAATGTAAAAATCAAATCGTTATATGAATGATGACAGAAGCTTTGTTCATTGTCAATATTTGTCGGAATGACGCATCTTTTTGACTCTTCAAAAGGGATACTTGTTTCATGCATGAGTTCTTATATACTTTACTTGCTTTAATTTATATTTGAAATTTAGAATTTTTAAAATTATAAAATTAATTAATTAAAATTTTAATATAAAAAACTAATTTGAATCTTCTAAATTTTGGATGATATACAGGGTGAGTCTGGACAAGACAGCAAAACTTTAATGCGTGTTAGAACACGCGCAATATTCGTCCTCGAATCATCACGGAACATAAACCGTGAGAAATTGAAATATTCAAAGCTGCATTAAAAGAATGAACACGCGAAGGGAAATAGATGCTCCAGAAATTTTTTTATTCACGGGAATATGATTGATGGACAAAGAATTACTCAAAGAAATACTCAAAAGAATACACGTGTAAGGCTTCACACAAGCAAGGGTGACACGTTCACACATGCATGTGTGAAGAGAAAAAGAAACGGACAATCCTGAATAACTTTTGATAAAATGATCGGATCTTCACGTTCTAGGACTCATTCTTAATGGTTCAAGGGGGTGGCTTCAAATATGCTGATTACTTAATGCAGACGATGTTTTAAGTTGTTAACTCAGATCCAAAGACGTATTATCTCTGAATAAACATATATTTTTTTCGATGGATTTGGATTTCTGATCTACAAAACATAGAAAGTAGCCGATATCTGGGAAATATGGTCCCAATAATTTAGTTTGGAGAGCGATCCAAATTTTGAGCCCTTTAAGGTTAATTTTACTTTTTGCGTATTTCACCATATCTAGAGAACTTTTTAAGCGAATGGAAAAATTTTTGCCCACAATTATGAAATTCGTTTATCTAAAGATAATTCCATGCAAAAAAAAATAAATTTTAGCAAATATTTTTTTTTTTGGGGGGGGGGGGGGCGATGAAATAAGGACTATTTATCTTTNGGGAGCCATTGTGGCTCAGGGGATGGGTCGTTCTCCTTCCAGTAAGGTAAACCGGGTTCGAATCCCAGCGGTGGCTGGCTGATTGGAATTCCGCAGCCGGCTTGCACGGACCACGGTGATGGGGAAAATTATCCTCACTGGTAGACAGATCATGAGTTGGAGTCCTCTTGCGTTCAGGCTAACCTTGGAAGGTTCTCGTGGTTTTCCTCTCCACATTAGTAGTGGCAAGCTCAAAATTGGATCGGCTGCTTAACGACGGTTATAAAATGAAATATATCTTGGGTGTCAGACGTCAAAATCCGTCAACAAAAGGTTATGTTTAGTCAGAGAAAGTATGTTTTGTGTCTGATTTCATGACAGAAAATAACGTCTGCAGTAATTAATTAGCACATTTTTGAGGTCACCCCCTGGAGCCACTTAGATTTAGTCCTAAAACGCGGAGTTCCGGTCAATAGATCAAAAGTCATTCAGTTTTGTTCGCTTTTATTTTTTTGCGCACAGCATATTAGTAAAAACGGCAGGCAATTTCTTTCAGCATCTCTTTTTTTGTTCACCAATTACATCCTTTTTAATTTGAGGAATTTCTGTACACATCAGTCATGTTCCAGTGAATAAAAAGTTTTCTGAAACAGCTTTCTCCATTCTTGTTTTTTTTCCTTAAATGTGAAAAATTATACTGTAGTGCAGTGATTCTCAACCACTGTGCCGCGGCTTTTTTGTGTGCCGCCAAATTCTAAAAAATGCACCGCAAATATTAGAAATGATACAATAAAAATTATAATGCTTTTTTTAATTATGTGTAAAGTTTAAATAAAAGAAAAGTGTAAGTGTATATATATATATATATATATATATATATA